CTGGGAATGTGGCTTAGTGGGCTTAGTGGTAGAGTGCTGGCCTCGAGCCAAAGAAACACAGTGCCCATGCCCTGAGTTCAAGGCCAGGACTGGCATATATATATATATATATATATATATATATATATAAATGGTCATAAAATAAATATTATATATATATAAATGAATGAATGAGAGACACAGTGGAGACTTGTGCAGTGATGACTCCACTGAACTGCAAGGAACCCATAGTCAGGGGTGAGGGGTGGGAAGAGGCCCACTGCCCAGGGTGGGTCAGGGCGTGATGGGCATTCAAAAGCTGGGGAGCCCAGAGAAGCAAGCCACTCATCACCTAGTGGTCCAGGGAAGACTTGCTTGGCTTTGAACTCTGTGTATTGAAATGGAAACTATATGTTTGACTTTGTGTATGGTAACTTTCGATCTGTGAGATTCAACAAGGTACACAGAGCAGAACTTTGTTCTTTTTGTTTGTTTGTTTGTTTTTTTATCTCAGGGCTTGGGTGCTTTCCTTGAGTTTCTTTTGCTCAAGGTTAGTGCTCTACCACTTGAGCCACAAAGCCACTTCTGTTTTTTGTGTTTGTTTTTGTTTTAGTAATTGATTGGAGATAAGAGTCTCATAGACTTTACTGCCCAGGCTGGCTTCGAACTATGAGCCTTAGGTCCCAGGATCCTGTAGCTAGGATGACAGGTGTGAGCCACTGGCACCTGGACTTGGTTGTTTATTCATTATTGCAGTGTGTTTGTTCTTTTTTCACTATTGTAGTGTGTTCTATTGAATGGACAGACAACACTGGTTTACCCACTCACCTGTTGGTGGGCCCTTGGGTTCTTTGCAGGCTGGATCCCTTATAGAAAGGTTGAGACAACACCTGTCTGGGGGCCCTTTGGTGGCAGGTGCATGTTTTAAGTGGATGCCCAGGAATGGATGTGCAGGGTCAAAGGGAGGGGTGTGTCTCATCCACTTCCTGAATAGTGCTTGTCTCAGTTTACACTTGCACCAGCAATACATGACCTGGCTTTTAAATCTAGAATCTAAAAACATGACTTGGGTAATTCAAGTGTTGTTGTTGTTAATAATTGATAATGGGATTTGAACTCAGAGCCTTGTGCTTGCTGGCAGTGCTCTATCGCTTGAGAAATGCCTCCAACCCTATCAAGTAAAGCTTACACTATTCCTAAATGTTATTTTTTCATTGTGTAATTCTTCAAATCCCTCAATTGAGCTGTGTTGGTCTGTTTGTTCATATTTATTTTTGTCAGTGCCACGGTTTGAACTCAGAGTTTTATATTTGCTTGACTTGCTTGTTCACTACCATTTGAGCCACACCTCCAGCCAGGCTTTTTGCTGGTTATTTTGGACATGGAAGTTTCCTGTAATTTTCTGTGTTGGCTGGTTTCAAATCTCCATCTCCTAGATTTCAGCCTCCTGAGTAGCTAGGATTTCAGGAGTGTGTCACTCATACCCAGCTTATATATTTACTTATTTATTTATTTTGCAAGTCCTGGAGCTTGAACTCAGGACTTGGGCACTGTCCATAAGCTTCTTTTGCTAACACTCTAACACTTGACCCACAGCACCACTTCTGGCTTTTTCTTTTTCTTTTTTTATTGTGAAAATACTGTACAGAGGGGTTACAATTACATGGGCAAGATAATGAATACATTTCTTACCAAGCATTGTAGCCTCCTCCTTTGTTTCCCCTTCCCATCCCTTCCCATCCTTCCCCCCTCACCCCCCCAACTTCTGGCTTTTTCTATGTATGTGATACTGAAGAGTCGAACCCAGGGCTTCATGCATGCTAGGCAAGCACTCTCTCACTAAGCCACATTCCCAGCCCCAGCTTATTTATTTTTAATTTTTGGTGTACTAGGGTTTGAACTCAGGGCCACACACTTGCTTTGCTTGCTTACTGACTAGTTCTCTACAACTCAAGCCACACTCCAGCCCTACCGAGTTATCCTTAAATAACTTGAGTGCCTGGCACAATTGAGTTGGACAGCTCCTTTGATAGAGGTAGGGTCACAGTTTGAGGTTATGTTGGGCCTCAAGGTCAAATGAAAGACTTGAGCCATTGGGGCACACATTGGGACTGAGATCGGTGCTGGGGTCCAGGGCCGGGAAGAGTGGGTGTCAGTATCAGACTGAGCTTGGGTAAAGGACTGTCGGAGATGAGATGTGGAGGAAGACGGAGGCCCCTTAGACTGAAGCAATTCAGATTACAAGCAGGAGTCCCAAAGAACTGTGTGTAGTAGGGGCCCCTTTGCCCTGTTGCCATGTTCTTGGGTGAGGCAACACCCCCTTCTTGGAGCCTGTTTCCTCCCCTGTGTGAGCTGAGCCTGCGCCGCTGGAACATTTGTTCCATTGATTGTTAGGTGGCTTTCACTACTTTGGGGTACTGCTGGAGTTGAAGGGCTAGGACTAGCCTGGAGGCTGTAGTCTTGGTTGGAAGCAGAGGGGTGGGGTTGTGAGGGCTGTAACCCGCACACAGGAGGAAGGCTGGTGGAGTGAGGTGGGCATGGGAAAGTGCTGGGCCCCGGGGCGGTTGAATCACACCCAAATCTGACAGCTCTTTCCTTTGGGGACACTGCAGCCCCATTACATCTCCCAGGCCCCACTCAGAGTGGAAAACATGTCTCACTCGAAACCTGCCCCGAGGCAGGACGGGAGCCCAGGCCCCACAGGGGTAGTGGAAGAGGCCAGAGGTCGGTGGGAAGAAGACAGAGGTCACACTTGTTCCTCAGCCTCCTCAGGAACTCTCCCACCCTGCCCCATTGCCTTAAGGTGGGTTGCACCCGCAAGCCCCTTTTTGGAGTGATGTGAGGCTAAATGAGATAAAGGTTTTAGGGGCCTAAGGGCCACGGTCTTGGCTTTTACCAGGCCAAGGCAGCGGAACCGCGAATACCTCATTTCAAAGATGGCTAGGATATGAGTGTGTAGCGGAGGCGGGGAGGGGGGAGTTTGGAGAAGGGGAGTTTGGGGGTGTTCGCAGAGGAACCCTTTGGCTTCCTTTCCCCCTCCCCATTTTCATCCTTCTCTCTTCCCAGAAATAAGAATGTCTAAGCCCCTGGAGGCCGAGAAGGAAGGTCTGGACTCCCCGTCAGAGCACACAGGTGAGTGGGGAGGGTCAGGGAGTGGGCACAGGTGAAGGGGGGGGATGCCAGCATGACTGATGGCACCATATCCATTCCTTCTCTTTGTAGACACTGAAAGAAATGGACCAGACACTAACCATCAGGTCAGAAGGGAAAGGATGAGCACGGGGCATGGAGGGGAGGAGGACGGGAGGGGCAGTGTCTAAAGCTATTTCATCATGCTCTTCCCATCTCCCTGACCCCACTTTCTCTTTGCAGAACCCCCAGAATAAGGCCTCCCCATTCGCTGTGTCTCCAATTGGTCCCAGCACCAAGGTAAGTGCACCTGTGGGAACACTGGGGGGAAGGGTGTCTGGGGGTGGGGAGCTAGGCGTGACCCAGGGCCTGTGAAAGCGTCCAGTGACACCCAAGGATCCCCTCCCCAGGCCTATGAATCACCCCAACTCCTTCCTCTTCCCTGGGGGGGTGGGGGCGGTAAGGGAAATCCCCCCCAGAGTCCCAGGGTGCTGAACAACAGGAAGCCAGGGCCCCGCCCCCATCCCGACTTCCCTGACTACCCCTGCCCTCCAACACATACCCTCAGGGGGCCAGCATTGCAGGTGGAGGGGGGGAGGCCCAGTGAGGACAGCTGTAGGGGTGCAGGAGAGGGTGATGGAGAGCTGCTTGAAGCAGCTGAGTGGTACAGATTCCAAATCCAGATGAGGCCCTGTGCTGGGGTCTGTGTCCTTCATCCTGGTGCAAAGGGGGGCGGGGAACCTCCGGAGACCCGAGGGGTAGCACCAGAGGAGACAGGAGCAAAATCCTTGACCCTGACCAGAGGTGGCTGAGGGATGGGGTGGGAGGCTGAGAACTGCTCTCCACCCAGCCACAGTGTTACTCTGTGACCATGGGAAAGTCACTTCCCCTCTCTGGGTTTTATTAGTTTCCTCTTCTCTGACACTGGTGGGGGCTGGAGGGCAGTTAGGTTGGAGGGGCTGTGAGGTCCCTTCCACATCTGGTATGCCCCGAGGGGAGGATAAAGTGCTTTGTGAGCCCTCTGTCCTGAGCACGCTGATCAGTGCCTGGAGGAGAAAAGTGGCCCTTGACCTGCGGCTCTAGTGTCTGAGACCCGAGACCCTAAGCCCACTCCCACCTCCTCTCCTGAGCTGAATCAGGTTTTTGCTGGTTTTCCTCACCAGAGAAGCCAGTGGGACAGAGGGAACAAAAGGGTTGTCCTCTCCTTCCCAGACCTGGCTCGCTTCAGAGCTCAGCCTGTTTCTCTGGTCCTAGCCTTTGCCTCTCAATTTCTCTCCATCTGTCCTGGACCAGTCTTTCTCCCGCTGCCATGATTCATGTGCTCCTCCCATGATTCATGTGCTCCCAGCATCATCTTGGACATATAGCCGTGTACAATTATTTACATAATAATTTTGCTAAGTGGCTCAGTTAAAAAACACTTTATTATGGAAAAATGTGAAGCTGATATAAAAATAGACAGGATATAATGAAAATAAACCTTCCAGGAACTCATCTATCAGCTTCAGCAATTATCCACTCATACACTGCCTCTCTTTTTGGACAGCTTGAATAAATGGTTTTTAAATGGAAATTTGATGAATGGAAAAACAGAATCGTAGGCCATGGAAATAAATACAATGTTTATTACCATTTACCCCAGAGTCTTCTATGTGCTCAAGGGTCTAAGGCTTGTTCTCCGTCAGCTAGAAGGAGAGATTTAGCCAACATTGGAGAGATATTTAAGACATCTTAAGACTTTTCTTTTTTTTTTTTACAAATATATATATATATGTATATATGTTCTTTTTTAATTTTTTTATTGTAAAGATACTATACAGAGGGTTACAGTTACATGAGTGAGGTAATGAGTACACTTCCTCTTGAACATTGTTACCCCCTCCATTGTTTTCCCCCTACCATCCCCTCCCTCAGACTTTTCTTTTTTTTTTTTGCCAGTGCTGGGGCTTGAACTCAGGAGGCCTGGGCACTGTCCCTGAGCTTCTTTTGCTCAAGGCTAGCACTCTGCCACTTGAGCCACAGTGCCACTTCTGACTTCTGTTTATGTGGTACTGAGGAATTGAACCCAGGGCTTCATGCTTGTTAGGCAAGCACGTTGCCACTAAGCCACATTCCTAGCTCTGGCTTTTCTTTTTCTATTTGACAGTTACTAGTGTTTCAGTTTAGGGCCTTGCACTTCCTAGGTGGGTGCTTTACCACTTAGCCCACACTCCAGTCCTTCAGTTATTTCTCAGATAGGGCCATGTACTTTTTCCTGGGTTTGGCCTCAGAATTTTTTTGTCAGTCCTGGAGCTTGAACTCAAGGGCCTGGGCACTGTCCCTGAGCTTCTTTTGCTCAAGGCTAGCACTCTACCACTTGAGCCGCAGTGCCACTTTTGGCTTTTTCTGTGTTTGTGGTACTGAGGAATTGAACCCAGGACTTCATGCTTGGGAGGCAAGCACTCTACCACTAAGCCACATTCCCAACCCATGGTCTTGGATCTTCAGCCTTGAATCTCTACTTCCCATATAGTTGTGATATTACCATACCTTGTCAGCTACACAGAGACTTTCTTAGATAGCCAAAAAGAGTTTTTAAAAACTTGAAATGAGAATAGTGTTCTCACCATGGCACTCAATATATTTGTTTTGAAAGTACTTGGATTTGAACTCAGGGTCTTGCACTTCCTAGGCAGATGCTTTACTATTTGAGCCCCACCCTTGGCTTTAGTTGCTTTTTGGATACAGTCTCACATTTTTGCCTGGGGATGGCCTTGGACCATGATTCTTTTATCTAGCTGGGTTTATAGGCATACACTACCATGCCCAGATTATTTGTTAGGATGAAGATTTAAATAACTTTTTTCTTGGAATGGCCTCAAACTTTGATCCTCTCTATTTCTACTTCCCAGGTCATTGGGGATTATAGAAATGAGCCACTGGACCATCAACATTATGGGGACTTTTTTTTAAACTCTTCACATTGAAATATGACATAAACTGAACATACCTCTTGGGGCCAATTATCAGATCAAGAAGCAGAATGTGCCAGGTGCCGGTGACTCATGCCTGTAATCATAGTTACTTAGGAGACTGGTTCAAAGCCAGCCTAGGCAGGAAAGTCCATGAGACTCTTTATCTCCAATAAACTACTCAGAAAAAGCCAGAAGTGGAGCTGTGGGCTCAAGTGGTGGAGTGCTAGCCTTGAGCAAAAGAAGCTCAGGGATAGCACCCAGGCCCAGACTTCAAGCCCTAGGACCAGGAAAGAAAAAAACAAAACAAAATATGCAAAAAAAAAAAAAAAAAACCCAGCAGAATGTGACTGGCCTTCTGGGGGTTCTTCATGTCCTTGCCAGGGAGAATCATTCCCCTGACTCTTTTTTTTTTTGCCAGTCCAGGGGCTTGAACTCAGGACAGACCTGGGCACTATCTCTAAGCTTCTTTTGCTCAAGGCTAGCACTCTATCACTTGAGCCACAGCATCACTTCTGGCTTTTTCTGTTTATGTGGTACTGGGGGGGAATTGAACCCAGGGCTTCATGCATGTGAGGCAAGTGCTCTACCACTAAGCCACATCCCCAGCCCTTCTCTGACTTCTGGTAGTGTCATTTCCTGCTAGGCTCCTCATTCCTTAAAGCTTCTCATGCTTTATCCATAATTTAGAGCTCACTGTTGATCATTTTGCCATTCCTGAGCCTCTATCTGTCTCCATCTGCTTTTCAAATCTCCCCCCACCCTACTGCTGCCCCACTAATGGGCTGTGTCACCTTATACAAGTTGTTTTCCCTCTCTGTGGGAAGGATTTTTCCAGAATAGTGTTGGGACACTGGGCTGAAGGTTGATCCCCGTTGTGGCCCTTCAGGTGTGTGATCCATCCTGTGCTCCTGGCCTCTCCCCTTCCTCCTGTGTCTTATTTGCTCCTTTCAGCCATGGCCAGCTGTATCTGGCTTGGAGGAGAGGAGGAAGGCAAGAAGGCTTGATGCTGGTCTGGTCTCTGTGCACGATATAAGATACAGATAACAGAGAGACAGTCAGGGGCTGGTGGACCTCCAGGGTTGAGGGCTGGAACTCTGTAGCCCTGGACCACAGGTGGTTTGTCCATAGCCCAGGATCCGCACGCTGCTTCGCTCTCCCTTGCAGTGTTCCTGTTTCACATTCTGAAATGAGTGGCAGTGGGGGGCAGGGTAGGAGCTGAGCAGGCCTCCCCTTTGGGTGGGAGTGTTCCTCCAGCCCACCCGACCCACCCTTGCCCATGCCACCCATTATACCGGTGCTCGTCTCCATAACTATTTGAGTTTGTGGCCCAAGTTCCAAGTGATGTGTTTTTGTTTTAATACCCTTTCAACAAAATTGCATTCTGTTGGAAAAAGAGATATACCTCTGGCTGAGGGGTGTGAGTGCCAGAGCCCCTTCTTTTGCTCCTCCAGACTCCCAGTGGCCCCATTTCCTAGTCTTTAGATGGGGCAAGTGACTCCGGAGGAGAAAAGTACTCCCCAAAGGTGATCTCTCCTGGAAGGAGTCTGGGTGTAGGTGACTGGTGGAGAAACTGAGGCTAGAGGACTGGTTGGAGGCTTGAGCCTCAGCCTCACTTTCATCCTCCAGTTGGCTCCTCCTGCGCCAGCCCAAGGTTACCATTGCCACACACATGCCCTCTCTTTGATTCACAGGTGGGCATTCTCTCTGGCCTCCACTTAACATTCTGGGGTCCCGGACCCTGCCTCTCTCCCCCCCAGATCAAGGCTGAAGACCCCAGTGGTGACTCAGCCCAAGCAGCACCCCCGCCCCCCCAGCCGGCTCAGCCACATCTGCCCCAGGCCCAGCTCATGCTGACGGGCAGTCAGTTAGCTGGGGTAAGTACACTGGGGAAGAACAGGGGTGGGGCACATACCACCCACCAGTCCCCCCAGGACTATGGCCACTCTCTCATATCTGCCTCTTGGCCCCTCTCTCTTCCCCTCCCCTCCCCCTCAAAGACTTGTTTTCTTGTCTGCTTGGCTTTGGCTCTAACCGCTCTCTGCCTTTTCTGCTCCTACCCTCTCCCGCCATCTGCCCGCTCGCCTGCCCACAGCTCACGGCGCTGATGCCAGCTCAGCAGCAGCTACTCCTGCAGCAGGCCCAGGCCCAGCTGCTGGCCGCCGCCGTGCAGCAGTCCAGCGCCGCCGCCGCCGCCAACGCTGCCGCCGCTGCCGCTGCATCCTCCTCCACCTCCTCCTCCTCCTCCTCTGCCTCTGCCTCCTCCTCCACCTCACAGCCCCCCACCTCCTCTGGGGGAGGCGACCTGCCACCACCACAGCCTGCCAGCCAGCCCCCAGGGACCCCACAGCTCACCTTGTCCCAGCCCATCCAGCTCACAGCACAGGTAAGGGTGGCCACGGAAGCCACACTCTGCACGGATGCAGTAGAGTGGGTGTGCTGGAGGGGCTGACCTCCAGCCACGGGCCACAAGTTCAAAGTCAGGGTTCTCTCTCTCTATCTCACTCTCTCTTTCCTTTTCTCTCCTTTCTTACTGGACTTTAAATTCAGGGCTTTCTGCTCGCTAGTCGGGTGCTCTACCATTCAGCCTTGCCTCCAGCCTTTTTTTTTTACTGGTTAACTTTGAAATGGGGTCTCACTTCCTGCTCAAGTGCATACCTGAGCTATAGTTCTATTTTTCATTTCCTACTATAGCTGGGATGACAGGCATATCTTATCTCCATTCCATAGTTAGGAAGAGGTCTCATACACTTTTTTGCCCAGGTTGGCCTCAGACTAGGATTAGAGGCATGAACCAGTGGCACCCAACTTCCTTAGTTCCCTTTCCTTTCCTCAAATTTCCCTTTCTTGTAAGGACCCCAGTCATTATGCCAGTACCTACTTTGTCATAAGACCCCAAACTATCTTTTGAGGGGGACCAGTTCAATTCAATAATGGCCAATAATCTCCAAGGTAGATCATCAGTGCCTACAATATAGGAGTTTAGACAGCTACTGATCTGACAGGCATTCTCCATGACTCACTCATCTTCTGGTCTCCAAAATCATTTGAGTCTATAATTTTTTGTTGTTGTTTCTGGGTTTTTGTTTTTGTTTTTTGCTAGTCCTGGAGCTTGAACTCAGGGCCTGGGCACTGCCCCTGAGCTTCTGTTGCTCAAGGCTAGCACTCTACCACTTGAGCCACAACACCACTTGCGACTTTTTCTGGGTATGTGGTACTGAGGAATCGAACCCAAGGCATACTAGGCAAGTACTCTACCACTAAGCCACATTCCCAGACCTACAATTGTATTTTAAGATGGTGAAAGTCCCAAGAAATCCTGCAGCGAAGGAACCTGCTAACTTCCCTTAACCAAGCATTATTATGCTACAAAACCAAGTACCAGGGCCCCTAGAGATTGTCCCTGCCAGCTCACCCTTCCAGACACCCTGCCTATCCCATTACCCATGTTCCCACGCGGGACTTTCCTGAGCACGGAGCCAATCTCTTGCTTGCTTAGAGCATCCTGCCTAGCCCCCTAGAGACACTCTGAAATCCCGCCACTCGTCTCCACGATGAGGCCTCCAAACACAGCCTTGTCAGCTTCTTGTTCACCACAGACACTGTTAACTATAGTCTATGCACTATGCCAGCATGACCTCTGAACCCAAAAACCTTCACCTTAGTCAGGCTCCCTGAGGCAAGGTGACATGCCCAGGTCACACTGAGAGCCTTAGTATCAGGGCTGGCCTGTGAGCCCAGGTCTCTAACCATATGGCCCATGGCTGCTGTTTTAGCTGTCCTTCACGCATGGCTCCCAGCCCCTCCCATCTGGGCCACCAGAGGCGCCAGCAGCAGGTGTCTAGTTTGCTTCATAGTGCGCACACAGGCCACAGCCCTTCAATGTGCAACACCAGGAGTTTGGAGCTCTACTCCTGTTCTACCTAGAGTTGCTCCCTTCTTTATCTGACAGCTCCTCTTCATCATTAGGCCCAACTCTAGAGTCTTTGCCTCCAGGAAGTTTCCAGGAAGTCCAGAAGGAATTCCTGACCTTTTTAAAGAAACAGAGAGAACAAATTCTAGAGGAAGGAGGAGAGGCCAGCAGCTTGAAGGCCCAGCCAGGTCACATCACCCCAGGAGCAACAGATACTTCTTGTGTTCATGAACCCCAGGTTCCCCTGGGCCTGTCTGCCCCCCTCAGCAGGCAGACCCTCTGCCACCTGCTATCTGATTGCCAGGGTATTCTTGAAAGTCTCTCTGCCAGTCCTTGCCTCTTTTCTGTATCCCTAGGCCTTCAGTCTCTCCCTGTGATCCTCAGCAAGTGCAAAGCAGGACCTGGTTTGTTTCAGAGATTTCTTTCTCAGTGGCTGAGTTGCCCTGTGGCTCTGGTTCTCCCACAGTGGTTTGTTCTGTGTCTCCTGTGTTGCTTGGTGCCACACAGGGCCAGGCCACCGCTCTTGTGGCCCTAGCTGCCCATTACTGTATCTCTCTGGGCTGGAGCCCCGCTCCTGCGCCTTCCTCTCTTCTAGTTCCCTTGCCTATTCCATTCCCTTCTTGCTCCATCTCACAAACATTCCCTGGCCACCTGGCAGGAAGCTTGGGACTTGAATGTGAGTCACAGCCCTGATTGCTCTCCCTGGGGTGGAGGTGGGGCCTCTCCACTTAAAGTGAACCAGAAACACAATGGACCACTCAAAATGCTTCACCTGAAACGCACCAAGAAGGCTAGAATAGGCTGGGAATGGCATTTCATTCCCGCCATCCCAACTAAATGGCAGGTATAGGTAGGAAAACTGAGATACTGACATCTGATGCCAACCCCTGGGGCAAAAGGGTGTGACTGTATCCAAAACAAAACTAAAGCAAAATGGGACAAGGCTGTGGCTCAAGTGGTAGGAGTGCTTGTCTAGAAAGTGCAAAACCCAGAGTTCAAATCCCAGTACCACTAAAAAATAAATTAAAAAAATAATACTTAAAAAAAAAAGACTAAAGGCCTTGTACTGGTGGTGGCCCATACTACTAGCTACTCAGGAGGCAGAAAACAGCAGCAGGATCAGTTTGAGGGCAACTTAGGAAGAAAAGTTCTTGAGACCTTCTCTCCGAAGTAAGCAGCTAAAAGCGCAGCTGGCTCAGCATTGGTGGCTCATGCCACCTAGTTATACAAAGCTCTAAACCACCCAGAAACTCTTTTCACTTCTAAATCATATCAAGTATAAAGGGAGAAAGTTCATCCATAATTTCTGGTTAGAAGACAGTTTAGCAAGATCTCTTCCTGCAGTTTCTGTGCATGTACCAATGGAGGGACCGTTACAATTCCATTGGATAATTTGTTCAACACCCAGCATACTGTCTTTTACTTTGGGATAGAGCTACATGGATGTTTACTGCCTAATCAGGTGATGATAGATTGCTGGCTTTCAATCACAGAAAGGGAAAATATCTCTCCAGAGAAATATTTCAGTGTAAGTGTTGGCACTGATTGAAAACTTAGTGGTAAGCGTTAAAACATTCTTTTGTGTTCGAAAGGTGGCAAAAAAGAATTTCTAGTTTTCTAATAGGACAGAAAATAAAACTAAACAAAGGGCTGGGAAGGTGGCTTAGTGGTACCTAGCATGCTTGAAACCCTGGGTTCGATTCCTCAGTACCACATAAAAACAAAAGGCCACAAGTGGTGCTGGCTCAAGTGGTAGAGTGCTAGCCTTGAGCAAAAAAAAAAAAAAAAAAAAGCTCAGGGACAGTGACCTGGCCTTGAGTTCAAGCTCCAAGATTGGCAAAAATAAATAAATAAATAAAAAACAACAACAACAAAGAAAACAAAACAAATTTTTTTTAAGGCTGGTAGGGCCTAGTGAATGAAGGTTTCCCAGAGAAACCCACTAGGGTGGTAGGGCAAGGAATATTGCCACGTGACTGCCCAGAGGAGTTAAATATGTGCACTAGTGAGTGTAAAGTCAGTACCCACGAGCTCCCCACAAAGGCAATGTGAGCCCCAGGGCCCTCGTGACCTGCGCCTGAGAGAGGTCAGCACCCAGAAGGAAGAAGCGGGGCCTGGTGTTTGAAGAAGGCCCAGCAGTGCCAGACCTGGCTGTAGCCAGTGCATGCACGGAGCCTTGGGGCTGGTGGTCCCTGGATTGGGATCTTCAGGTGCATGTCTGTCATGGAATGTTAGCATTCTCCCTGTGGATGGTTCCCCAATGGCCAGGACTTCCTGGGCTCCACAGAGCAGGCTAGCCTTGGAGATTGGGCCCACACTGGACGCACCCTCCCCTTTAGAAAGTCCTCTAGTGACTAACCATAGTGCGGTTATTCATGGAACCGGCACTTATTAAGCCCTTTGTGTAGGCTAGGTGTCCATTCAGGGCCAACTGTGAACAAGGCAGTGGTCGCCGCCCCTGAGAACCCTATGTCCTCAGCAGAGGGGAAGGACAGACAGTAAACAAATACACGAGCCAGCAAAAAGGACAGTTTCAGAGTAAGTGTGATGTAGAAAATGAAACAAGGCAGTGTCGGAAAGGGAGGAGCCCCGTGTAATGGGTGGTTAGGAAAGGTTTCACTACGAAGCTCGGCCTTTGAGAGCAGAGGGCCGAATGAGTCAGTCATGAAAGCAGCCGGGGGAAGAGCATTTCAGGAAGAGGGAACAGCAAGTGCAAAGGTACTGAGGTGAAAACCAGCTTGGCTTGTTCAAGGTACAGAGGGACATGTATGGCTGGCGCAGCCTGGGGAGAGGGAAGGCATATGGAAGTTGAGGGAAAAGGCCCACGAGGAATTTGAAAGTGTACCAAGGTTGATGGGAGGTCTTGGGGTTTGTCTCTGTGATTTTTGCAGTACTGGGGATGAACCCAGGGCCTTGTGTTCGCTAGGGCCAGGGTGGTGAAATGGGGAAATGCCATGACCTGATTGGCTCTTTAGGAAGCTCCTCTGGAGGTTGTGGGGAGAGTGGACCGCAGGGGCTGGGAAGAGAATGGGGGGGGGCAGTAGGAAGCCCGTGCAGGTGCCTAGGTAGGGGACAGGGTGGATCGCTCCCCAGAAAATGATAGCGCAGGGTGTGGCCTCTGCTTTACGTGAGACCAGGTCAATGATGCCTCCTAGAATTTTGGCTTCTCCTCCAAGGTGGTGATGAGGTCCTTTCCTGAGTTGGAGAAGATGGTGTGCGAGGGCTGGGATGGGGAGGGGGGAGCAGGGACGCAGGAGACAGGCATTCTGGAAAGCTAGGATAGGAAACTAAGACTTTCTTTGGGCCGTGGTGGGGTTTGACGATTCTCTTAATTATGCAAGTGAAGACACTGAGTGGACAGGCAGATGTCCCCGCCTGACACTGGGCAGAGCCTGGGTGGCTATGGGTGAGACAGACACTCTCAAGAGCACTGGCAGCCAGGGCTCTGAATTTCAGATTTATTTTGCCATTTCCAAAGTGCTCTCTGAAGCCGGGCAAGGTGGTGGATACCTGTAATCCCAGCTACTCTGGAGACAGAAACAGGAGGAGAACAAGTCTGGGGCCAACTTGGGCAATGTTAGTGAGACTCTTGTCTTAAAAACAAAGATACAAACAAAGGAGCTGGGTGTGCGGCTCAAGTGGTAAGGCACATAATTAAGACCCTGGTTTTAATCCCCGGTACCACAAAGTGTTCTTTGAATAATGATTATACTCAGGCCTCAAAGCAAGAATGAATAATTAAACACTTGTATCCCCATTTCGTAGATCAGAAAACTGCACTCAGAAAGAAATGACTGGGCTGGGCATCGGTGGCTCATGCCTGTAATCCTAGCTACTCAGGAGGCTGAGATATGAGATTCACTGTTCAAAGCCAGCCCAGGCAGGAAAGTCTATGAGACTCTTATCTCCAGTAAACCACCAGAAAACTGGAAGTGGAGTTGTTGCTCAAAGTAGTAGAATGCTAGCTTTTTTTTTTTTTTTGGTCAGTCATGGGGCCTGAACTCTGGGCCTGGGCACTGTCCCTCAGCTCTTCAGCTCAAGGCTAGCGCTCTACCACTTGAGCCACAGTGCCCACTTCTGGCTTTTTATGCTCATGTGATACTGAGGAATCAAACCCAGGGCCTCATGTATGTAACGTAAGTACCACTGAGCCACCTTCCCAGCCCTAGAGTGCTAGCCTTGAATGGAAGAGGTCAGGGACAGTACCCAGGCTCTGAGTTCAAGCTTCAAAAAAAGAAACAAAGGAAGGAAGGAAGGAAAGAAGGAAGGAAGGAAGGAAGGAAGGAAGGAAGGAAGGAGGGAGGGAGGAACAAAAACACTGGGTAGTGATGACTCTAAGGCCCAAATCTTTCCAAAAGTACTTGTATCACTGTCTTGGATGTTAGGAAGGTTGAGGTCTAAGAGAGAGAGAAAATGTCCTGCCATGGGGTGACCAGAACTAATCACCACTTACCATATTAGAGATGGCAAGTGAGAGTAGGCTCACCTGCCAGCACCAGCCATCCCAGCCATGGTGGTGAGGCTCTGTGGGGGTTGGCCCCTCTGCCCTGGGCACTGGAGTGAAGCGCAGCACCTGGGCTGTGTTGCAGCTGGTGGCTCTGGGGCTGGGACCTCCTCAAGTTCATTCTCATGGCTTTCTCTTGTTCCTTCCCCCACCTAAGGTAGAACCCAGCCCAGAAAGGAAAGTGATTGATTGCCCCTTCCCCTCCCTCCCACCCCCACCCCCCACCCCCGCCCCATTCACCCATGTCATCTGTCTTTTGTCCCATCTGAGACCAAAGTTCTGGCTTCAGTAAAGCATAGCTGGTCTGCTCTGAGGGCTTGTCCCATTCATTCATGGAAATTTTAGTGATCGCTTGTTAGGTTGTTTGTACTGGCAGCGATCAATATATTGGCAGAATATAGGCTTGGTCCCTTCCCCTCTCAGCTTTAATGGTGTGTGCTAGCCCTCTGGGCTAGTTTTCCTCACAGATTAGGGACAAGGAAATTAATCCACAAAATAGGCTGACCAGAAGCCCTTCCTGGGCATCTGTCCCTTTACTGTAATTTCTGCACTGACTGTGACAACACACCCCCAAGTGGCTTCAGAGAGTCTTGCAGCCTCTAAATTGTGAAGAAATGGGGCCCCCTACTGGTTAGCCTCAGTTCTGATCCCAATCACCTTTTCTTTTACCCAGAAAAATCTGTGTGTCTCATTCCTTTAGTCAGCAAATACCATCACCATGCTGAGGCTCCTTTCTGGGTGGATCTCATTCATTCACATATGGAGCTGACACCCGCTCTCCAGAAGATAGACAGAAGCAGATAGTGCCATGTGGGAAAGAAAAGGCTGGGATGACATAAAAAGCGACAGAGGAAAAGGAAGACCCCTTATCATAGCAGGTGGCCTGTGGAGGACTCTCTGAGGCCAGACATTTGCTGGAGCCTTGGATGAAGAGGAGGGACCAGCCAAATGTATGTGAAGTAGGAAGAACTGAGCAGGGAACCTTTCTTGGGTTCAGGAACAGGATCACTGTGGCTGGATTAGAGTTAGAGTTAGGACGGCATGAAGTGGAAGAAGAAAGCAGAGGCCTGGGACAGGTAAGGCTGTAGCAGAGCTAGATTCTATAACAAATGTGATTAAATTTGGTAGAAGCCCTTATGGTTCTATTTATATTTTTCTATCTATCTATCTATCTATCTATCTATCTATCTATCTATCTATCTATCTATCTATCTATCTTCATCATCATCATCATCATCATCATCATCATCATCATCATCTATCTAGCTATCTATCTATGGTACTGGGGAATGAACTCAGGGCCTTGAAAATTGCTTCCACTTGAGCCGCACATCCTAGTACTTTTAGTTTGCTTTTCCAATAGAGTCTCTTGCATTTGCCAAGGCTGGCCTTGGATCTTGTTCCTCCTCTATTTATTTTTATTATTTTATATTAGTTATGCATATGGGGGATTTAATTGTCTCCTTATGTCTCTTGAGAAGCTGAGATTACAAGAATAATTTGTGTATGTGTGTGTGCATGCACATATATGCACGCACATGTGTGCATAGTAGAGCTTGAACTCAAAAACTCATGCTGTCTGCTTTTTTTGTTCAGGAGTCTATAGACCACCCAAGAAAGGCCTGAGGATAGAATTCAGACCTTGCACAGGAAAAAAAGAGGTCTCAATTTTTCATATCCTCTGACTGAAAATGTAGTATTTCCCTTCACTGTCAATGTAAATTGGCCGCAGTTTGTGACAAGGACTTTGCCACTAACAGAATACAGAGGCTTTCATATTCCACTCTAGTCATTGTGGTCGCAAAATATTGTTTTCATTCCTCACTGCTTTGAAATTACAGTTATCATCATAGCTATTGCTGGCTCTTGTTATAAAGAAACTGGCAGATAACTGTGTCACAATTGGAAATATACTTGCATCTCAGTGTAATTCATTCCATTTGCAATTCTGTGTATTTTATTTTAAAAATTATTTGAGATTGGGTCTTGCTATATTACCCAGACTGGGCTCAAACTTCATAGGTTCAAGTGATCCTCCTGCCTCAGCCTTCTGAGTGCTGGGGCTACATATTTGTGCCACTATGCTCAACTTGCTGGTGTGCGTGTGTGTGTGTGTGTGTGTGTGTGTGTGTTTAATTCTGAGAAGGGAAGAGGGTGTTAGGTTATGTCAAATGCCAAAAACTTCAGAGTGTAAGCTCAGAATTCTATTGTATTAGATCCCTCTGGCTGCTGCTCAAGGAGAATGAGTTGTCCAGGGCAGATGGTCCCAATACATGGGTCAGGACAGTGACAACAGAGAGAAAGAGAGAGGAGGAAGCTGGTAGGAGGAGGTGGAGATAGACTGGATGGTGGAGAAAGAAATGGGAAGGGATCAAAGCTGAACACTATGACTCAGCCCAAGTAGCTCAATGGGCTCTGGTTAAAGGTTCTCCATCTGAACCTCTCACTATGAGACCCTCTGCAACCTGGATGCATTTTCCCCATCCTCTGTTGTTTCTTTTCCTGTTGATTCAGAATGAAAATCACAGACACTTGGACACTTGTCTTTCAGGCTTCTGGGGAGAATGAGTTGTTTTCACTGAGAGTCATGCTAGGGAGAAACATGAGTTAACAGTTTGTGCGTGCGTGCATGTGCGCACGCGCACGTGGGTGTGTGTATGTGGTGTTGTATTAGGGATTGAACCCAGGGCTTCGTGCATGCACTGTATATCATGAGAGCCTTGCCCCCATCTTTTCTTGACTTACTGATGGTCATCTTTCCCCTGTGTCTCTTCCCATTATTCCCCCCCTCCTGTCTAGTCATCTCTTTGTCCAAATCTGCCCTTTTGATCAGACCATCAGCCATCATGGATTAGAGCCCACCCTGCTGACCCATTTTAACTTGATCAGCAACAAAGACCTACTTTCCAAATGAATTCACATGCTGAAGTCCTGAGGCTAGAATTCCAACATCCCTTCTTTTTTCAAACCACAACACTACCAGAGAATTTCCCAAAGTGGTCGTACCAGTTTACATACCCACTATTTGCTGGAGTCATTTAAAGCTAATTCTAGATGTCCTATCATTTGCCTTGGTGGTGTTTTAAGGGAAAGAAAAGGAAACATTGGGTCTGGTTTACATTTTAAAACAGGTCTATTTGTTCTGTGTGAACATACGACAAGACAAATATTTCATCAGGAAGGAAAAGGCAAACAGAGCAAATCCTCCCTGGGGTCATCCAGGTGGGACTTTCTGAGTCCCATGGTTGAGAGTGAGAAGCCACTGGGTGATGTTTGGAACCCCATGGAGCCTGGCTTACTGCCCAGTGTCCAAGTGCCAGGTCTCTGAGTTCAGCCCTATGGGTTTAGCTGATGCAGGGCAGATAACTCAGGCTGTCTTTCTGTCCATCCACTCCTGTCAGGACATACAGCAGCTCCTCCAGCTTCAGCAGCTGGTGCTTGTGCCAGGCCACCACCTCCAGCCACCTGCTCAGTTCCTGCTGCCACAGGCCCAGCAGAGTCAGCCAGGTAAGACCACCCTTCACAGCCTCCCTGTGCCCCCTTGGATCTGGGCTCCCCTCCCACTTCCGGCTCAGCCTGTGTATTCTTTCTTGGTTCTCCAGGCCTGCTACCGACGCCAAATCTATTCCAGCTACCTCAGCAAACCCAGGGAGCTCTTCTGACCTCCCAGCCTCGGGCTGGGCTTCCCACACAGGTAAGACTGCCCACCGAGTGTGCCAGGCCAGTGGGCAGCAGGGTCAGCCGAGAACTGAGTGAAGGGGGAGGTGGGGGGGGGAGGGTAGATCTCCTCTCTTGTTGGCCCACCCACAGACACAGGAAGCTAAGGGCAGTAGGCCCAACCCTACACTACCAGGGATTTACTGTGGGAGCTCAGATAAGCCATGCTCACTCTCTAAGCTTCCCAGAAACTCTGTGGCAGAAGGTTTTCTGGAGGAGAAGAGAATGAAACTGTTTGTGGCAGAAAAAATAAAGTATAGCGAGTTCTAGGCAATAAGGGGACCAACATAGGGTAGCAGTCAAACCTTGAACAGGACTGACAGTGAGTGTGAAGGAACAGGGAGTCTGAAGGAAGAGGCTGGAAGGAAAGGGAGGGATCAGAGACAGCAGCCCTGGTTGAACACCTTCCCAGCTGTCCTCTATCTGGCATCCCACCCACCTGCCTGCCCCATCATACTGACCCACCACATGCTGCCCGACCCGCAGCCCCCTAAATGCTTGGAGCCACCATCCCACCCCGAGGAGCCCAGTGATCTGGAGGAGCTGGAGCAGTTTGCCCGCACCTTCAAGCAACGCCGCATCAAGCTGGGCTTCACGCAGGTATGCAGTGGGGAGGTGGTTGGTATGAGGGGCATGGCCACTTGGGCAAGGGGTGTGGATGACTGTGGGGGCATGGCCTGCTGGTGGAAGAGCCCTCCCTGATTCTCCTTTCCCATCCCCTACCAGGGCGATGTGGGCCTGGCCATGGGCAAGCTCTATGGCAACGATTTCAGCCAGACAACAATTTCCCGCTTTGAAGCCCTCAACCTGAGCTTCAAGAACATGTGCAAACTCAAGCCCCTCCTAGAGAAGTGGCTCAATGATGCAGGTGGGCCTGGACTGAGGCTGGGGATGGGGTTGGAAGGGGGGCAACTCGGGGAAGAGCCTCTCACACCCCACGTCTCTTCCTGGGCACAGAGACTATGTCTGTAGACTCCAGCCTTCCCAGCCCCAACCAGCTGAGCAGCCCTAGCATGGGTTTCGACGGGCTGCCCGGCCGGAGACGCAAGAAGAGGACCAGCATCGAGACAAATGTCCGCTTCGCCTTAGAGAAGAGTTTTCTAGCGGTGAGTCACCACCCCCACCCTCCCCAGGTGTCCCAGTGGAGAGTCATAAGGAAGGGACGCCCCGCTAACGAGCCCTCTACCCGTAGAACCAGAAGCCTACCTCAGAGGAGATCCTGCTGATTGCAGAGCAGCTGCACATGGAGAAGGAAGTGATCCGCGTCTGGTTCTGCAACCGGCGCCAGAAGGAGAAACGCATCAACCCCTGCAGCGCGGCCCCCATGCTGCCCAGCCCGGGGAAGCCCACCAGCTACAGCCCCCATCTGGTACCGGGCACAGTGGAAGGGAGGGGCTAGAGGAGCAGGGAGCACAGGCCCAACAGGCAAACAAACCTACTTGGCTGTCCGGAGTCTAGAACAGAGGCCAGCAGAGGAGGCATTTGGGATGGACTGGGATATGGAGCACAACCACATAAGGACACAATGTTTCCAGAGGGAATTGGGGGGGGGAGGTTGTTTTGTTTGTTTGAGACAGAATTTCCCTGTGTAGCTCAAGTTGGCCTTGAACTTACTATGTAACCCAATCTGGCCTTGAACACTTAATCCTCATACCTCAGCCTCCCAAATACTGGGACTATAGGTGTGCCTCACTACACTCAACTTGAATTATGGGTTTATATGATGGCTATAAGCACCTGTAGATGCAGAGTCACCGAGGCCAACAGAGTTGTCACAGGGAGGGTCACAGTCCTATGGAGATAAATTAATACAGTCTGGATATGCACAGGTTCATGCCCATACAAAGATGGGGGAGGCACTTATATACCTTGTAGGGACATCTAAAGGCCCATGAGGGCTAAGAATGTGGCTTAGTGGTAGAGTGCTTGCCTAGCATGCACAAAGCTCCAGGTTTGATTCCTCAGTTCCACATAAACAGAAAAAGTCAGAAGTGCAGCTGTTGCGCAAGTGGTAGGGCACTAGCCTTGAGAAAAAGAAGCTCAGGGACAGCACCTGGGCCCTGAGTTCAAGCCCCAGAACTGGCAAAAAAAAAAAAAAGACCCATGAGATATCTTCAGCCACCCACAGCAGACACAACTGAACAGTTTTAATTCTACCTTGTCTATATCCATTGGTGGAAAGGGCTGTGGCACCCAGAAAGGAGTCTTCTACTCCCAGGGAGTAGAGGAGGAAGGACCACCTGAGTCATAAAGAACAGGAGAGCAAGTGTTAAGCAGCTTTAAGCAGCGCTGTGAACAAGGGTCCCCAAGGCAAAAGATCCAGTGTATACAAGGGCCTAGGTATGTGCCCGGCCTGCTTGGACAAACTCCAGTTCAATTTAGTATGGCTCGAACCACAACACATACAAATGGGGTGTAGGTTGGGGAGGAGCAGGAGCTGATACTCCAAGTTTCATGTAGAGTCTGAAATTAAACCATGGGCAGTGAGGAGCGAAAAGCAAGTTTTGAGCTGAGGAAGGACCGGGTCAAGTTCAGACAAGCTCTGGGGTTGATGGAAAGGTGAGACTGGAGGCACAAAGGAGCCCGGTGGAGGACCCCAACACTCTCACAAACATACTTGTGGGAATTTATCCTCATCCTTCCATTGCATATACACACTCATGCGCACACACAGCTTCCCCTGGATCAGCAGCTTCTCTTCAAAGGGCAGGTGTGTTTGTTCTAGGTGCACGCAGAGGGCAGTAGCTTATCTCTGAAGAACACAGGGTGGGCAGGACTAGTCAACCTGGATAGGGTCAAAGGCGAGCTGTGTTTGTGGGGCAGGGTCCTCAGGGCAAATGTGAGGACAAAGAGGATCTAGAGCACAGGGAAGGACAGGTAAGTAACAGTGTACCCAAAGCCCCCTCTTTCCCAGTCCCATGCCAAGGGCAGGATGGCAGAAGTGGGGTACACAGGAGTGTCATGGGGATCGCTGAGAGACAGTGCCTAACCACCTTTCCTTTCTCCCCAGGTCACACCTCAAGGGGGTGCAGGGACCTTACCATTGTCCCAAGCTTCCAGCAGTCTGAGCACAACAGGTCAGAGTGGGCAGCAGACAGTGAGGGGGATGGGAAAGCACATGCACGGCTGCAGCCTAAGGTTCCCCACCTGTGCCTCTGGTGGGCCACGGACCTCAGGGCTGATTATTGGGGTCGGGTGGGGCATGGGAAGGACAGGGGGCAGGCTTCACTCTTCTGTCAGAGCAGCCAGGTTCTGATCTGCTCTATAATTTGTAAGGAAAGGAAAGGGTTGCTGAGCCGGATGCCAGTGGCTCACACCTGTAATCCTAGCTACTCAGGAGGCTGAGATACGAGGATCACAGTTCCAAACCAGCCAGGATGGGAAAATCCATGAGATTCTTATCTCCAATGAACAACCAAAAGCTGGAAGGGGAGCTGTGGCTCAAGTGGTAGAGTGCTAGCCTTAAGCAAAAGCAGCTCAGGAACAGTGCTCAGGCCCAGAGCTCAAGTCCTAGGACTGGCAAAAGAGGGAGGGGGAGGGGAGAGAGGGGAGGAGAGAGGGAGGGAGGGAAGAGAAAAAAAAGGGGTTGTTGAAAAATAATACACAGGTTTTTGTCCTTGGTCTCTGCAAGAGACCCTTGGTGAACTTGAGAAGGTTCTTTGCCTCTCCAAGTATCAGTTTTTCTAAATTATTGTGAATGTGTAATACATACAGAAGATGCATGTGCAAGCATATGCATTCAAGAGTATAGTGGCTGCGAGTATAGCTTGATGGCAGAATGCTTGTCTAGCATGAATGAGACTCTGGGTTCCATCCCTAGTACTGTTAAAAAACAAATGGACAGGTGCAGTAGCTCATGTCTGTAATCTCTGCTGCTTAGGAGGCAAAAGTAGAAGGATTGTGGATTGAGGCTGGCCAGGAAAAATTGAGAAACCTTATAAACATAAAGCAAAAAAAGGGAGGTGGGCATCACTCAAGTGGTAGAACATCTATATAGAAAGTGCAAGACCCTGAGTTCAAACTCCAGTACTACTTGCTTGCTGGATATAAAATAAACATTATATGGTCCCTCTCAAATTAAGGTTTGTAAAGTACTAGAGAGAGCCTAGCAGTACTGACTTAATTCTTACGCCCATTTTTATGAGTTAGGTCCTATACTTATTCCCATTTCCTGGATGCGGTGGCTGAAGACTGGAGAGGTTAGGGCACTAACCCAAGGATACATCAGGGATAGCCACGCATCTCTGTGCCAGCCAAGGCAGGACCTCAGTCCCTCCCCCATAGCCTGTACGCCCATGCCCCTTCTCTGGCTCCTCCGGGATCATAGTCTTTGCCTCCTGGATGTCCAATTCTTGTACAAGTCAAACGTGGTTCAGGGTGTGGTAGGCACAGCAACAACTCTCTGGCCCAGGGCACGGGCTCAGTAGGTGGCCGCTGCTCTCACTGTACTTATTTTGACTGCTGTCTACATGGCAGAGCGCTGACCATGGGACTGGGCTCTGGGATGGGGTGGGAAGGTCCTGATCAATTCTGATTTGAGGAGCCCCAGCATGGGTTAGGGGATAAGCAGCCATTGACCCCAGCTCACGGGCATGCTGATGACCTCACCTCTGTCTCTCTTTCTCTCTGTGTCTCTGGCAGTTACTACCTTATCCTCAGCCGTGGGGACACTCCACCCCAGCCGGACAGCTGGAGGGGGTGGGGGCGGGGGTGGGGCCGCGCCCCCCCTCAATTCCATCCCCTCTGTCACTCCCCCACCCCCAGCCACCACCACCAACAGCACAAACCCCAGCCCTCAAGGCGGCCACTCAGCAATTGGCTTGTCAGGCCTGAGCCCCAGCACGGGGTAAGTGTACAGTTGCAAGTGGGAGGTTGCTGCTGCTTTAGGGTGGGAGGGGGAGTTCCCCCAGCTCCGTGCCAGCCCCTCAATCCCCCGCTAATGCCTCTGCTTTGCTCTTGCAGAAGCACAATGGTGGGGTTGAGCTCCGGGCTGGGTCCAGCCCTCATGAGCAACAACCCTTTGGCCACTATCCAAGGTGCGTGCTGCTTCATGTCACTCTCACCGCCACCAGTCCTGCCCCTCCCAGGGCCTCGAGCCCCCCATTGCTGCTCCAGCCATGCCATCTTGCCCCCCGCTCACTGCATCGCTCGCCTCTTCATCCCCATTGTGCCTTTGGGGAAGGTGTGAGGGGTGCTGATGGGGGTCAGTGGGACAGATGGGAGGCACTCGGCCAGGATGTTGGGAGGCAAAGCTCTCCCCTGGCTTGGCGTGTCCCCAGCCCGGCCTCTTTCTCTCCCCACCAGCCCTGGCCTCTGGTGGAACCCTGCCCCTTACCAGCCTTGATGGCAGCGGGAACCTGGTGCTGGGGGCGGCCAGCACAGCCCCAGGGAGCCCCGGTCTGGTGACCTCGCCACTCTTCTTGAACCATGCGGGGCTGCCCCTGCTCAGCGCCCCCCCGGGTGTGGGCCTGGTCTCAGCAGCAGCTGCAGCTGTGGCAGCCTCCATCTCCAGCAAGTCTCCTGGTCTCTCCTCCTCTTCTTCATCCTCGTCCTCCTCCTCCACTTGCAGTGAGGCAGCAGCACAGACCCCTGGAGGTCCAGGGGGGCCCGAGGCAGGGTCCAAGCCCGAGTGAGGGCCCACCATGCCTCCCCTCCCACACCTCTGAACCCCCACTTCTGTTCCCTGCCTGGAAGAGGGCAAGGAGGTCAGTGGTAGGGGTGTAGCGGGTCCTCGGAACAAGAGTGACAAGGGAGGAAAGACCAAAAATCCAACCAAAAAAAAAAGGAAAGAAACCAACAAAAAAGAAAACCAAAAATAATCACAACAGAAACCAGCTGCCCCAAAGGAACCAGAGATGAAACACAAAAACAAAAAACACACAAAAAAAATCCCTCACAAAAATCAAACAAACCAAAAATCAGTTGTGAGCCAGAGTTCATAATGCTCACTCTCACGGCTACGACACCAAATAAGAACCTCAGCCAGGAGCGGAGCAGCCTCCGGCAGGCCGGACCTCACACCGCCGCAGAGCCCTGGCTGTGGGGCCAACTCCTCACCTGCCTCCCCCCAAGATGGGGGGACAGAGAAGGAAAAAAAAAGAATGTGCCAGCCTACTGGCTGCCCCAACCCTGAGCCAGCGGAGACAGGGCATAGCTTGGGGCAGAAGGCCCAGGGCCCAGAACCATCTGCCAAATGTCCTTTTCCAAAAGGTGAAAGAAAAAAAGGGCCTGAACAACCTTACACCAAATATTCAGTAGCTTCATCCAAAGGATGTACAGAATTTTTAGCGTTGTGCTCAACAGAATGTGTCCCTACCATACCTCCCCCCTTCCCTCTGGCCCCTAGCTCTCCACACCTGGGCAGGGGGTCTTGCTTTAACCTCCTTCCTCCCTCCTAGCTGGGGGAGAGTTCAGGGGGAAACCCCAGGGGTGACTTTCTGCCCCTTATACCTTCCTCTTTCTTCCCTTTGACGGGTGAGCTAGGCCATTTTGCCAAGTTCCAGTTCTCACAAGTCTCCCCCCCTCCCCAGCCCTGTCACTCTCTTCCGCTCTGGATCTCCCTCTTCCCCGGCCAAGGGGAAGGTACAGCTTTCAGACAAAAGGGGGATGAGGGATGAGGTGGGCGTTCAAGTTGTCTTTCTTTCCATCCTGTCTGTTTCCCTGAAAAAAAAATTTCATATTCCAGTGCCTATCCGTGGGATCCTTCACGTTCTTTGACATTAACCAGAAACCAAAAATATAACTCGCCTCAGCCCACCCTGTGTCCCTCTGACACTGGCAGATGCCTCCCCCTCCCATGCACACACGCACGCACCCAGTGGTGAGTTCATTCAGATGGCATCCCTATCAGGGTCCATGAGGCGGGGACAGTGCCATGACCTGTGGTCCCCATCCAAGAGGGCGCTGTGGTGGCCACCATTCCCATGAGACCTCCACGAGGCTTGGCTGGACCCCGTGTTTGCCCAGCCCTGAACACATCTCAGTGATGGACAAAGGAGAGATGTGCTGCTGGGAGCCACCTTGCCTCCTGCAATTGTGGAGACCAACAAAGTTTTGAACCAAAAAACAAAAACAAAAAAACCACAAAAAAACCCAGAAAACCAAACAATAAGTTAAAACTAGAAAAAAAAAGAATTTATAGATATATATAGAGCTATATATATTAAAAGGGAAAGAAGACAAGAACCCTTGAAGAATAAGAAGGAGCCGCAAGGTGGAGCCAAGCCCTGCACAGTGGTCCAGTCTCTTGGTCCCCAAGGCTACTGGAAGGATGGATGCTTCTTTCTCTTCACAAATACCTCATGGACGTCGTCTTCGGGAAAGCCGGAGGGAGGCGGCTGGGGCAGGACCTGTCCCTCAGCCAGGGTGGATGGAAGCGGGTGGGTGGGGTTGAGAGAGGGTGTCAGGGACAAGGGTGAAGAACCCCAAACTTCCCACCCCCCCAACCAATTGAAAAAGCTTTAATAGAAAAAAAAAGACAGGAACAAAAGTTAGGAAGCAAAAAAGAATGGACAAAAGAAAACTAACAATTTTAGGGTGGTTTGATTCCCCCCTTGATTTCTATTCTCTTCCTCCTCTGTCTCTCCCCCCACCCTTTCCATTTCCTCTCTTCACCTTTCCTCTTCTCACTTTTCTATCCCTCTTCTCTTACTTCTCCCAATCTCGATCTTTCTGTGTCTCTCCTCAAACCAAAGTGTTGCTGTGAAGGACACGAGCCATGGAAATCAGAGTGGCCCTGCCCCTGGCTGGGCAGGTGCCAGAGGGAGGGGAGAGCCGGTGATGGCTGATGCCGGTAGCTTCCACACTGGACACTCTGGAGAGAGGCAGTTGGAGCCCTAGGCCTCAGCTTTTCTTCTGGTCTCCCTTCTCCCACCCAGGGAAACCAAACTGTTGGGCTGGGCCACAGAGGCAGCAGAGACTCCAGGGCTGCTGCAGGGGCCTGGGGTGCCTTGATTGGGCAATGGAAGAACGGCCCCTCCCACCTTGGGCCCGCCTCTCTGGAATGGAAACATCTCTCCTCACCAACTCCTGCGGCCCTCGCCCAACCTCTGAGATTTGTCCATTTCAGTTTCCTGAAGAGGCTGGCAAGAGGGCCCCCGGGCCCAGCTCGAGGGCGGAGAGGGGGCCCAAGGGCTCCTGACCAGATAGGAAAGACATTTGAGCAAAGCAAAATGAGAGCAATTACGACCAAAAACCCCCTCCAAGAAGACAGGCAGCATGGAAGGCATGGTGGAGATGACTCAAACAAAAACTATGATCTAGACCAAAAAACAAAAAAAACAAAAAAAACAAAAAACAAAAAAACAAAAAAAAAAGGAAAAAGAAAAAAAAAAAGGAAAGAATATCCAGGACTCACCACCACCCACTTCATCCTGCTTCTTCCCGTCCAGTCCCATCGCCTGGATCCTCTCTCCACCCATGTGGGAGGGTGGGGCAGAGAGGAGGAAGCAAGGACAGGGATGGGGTGGATCAGTTGGGGGTGAGGGGGATCCCCCCCATCCAACCCCCACAACTGGGAAAAGAAAAAAAAATCCTGGGAGGGGGAAAAAGAAATAACCAAATCCCAAGCTTTAACTACAGCTGTGAAACCAAATATTGGGAAGAGGGTGGGAGGGAGGGAGGGAGGGGCAGGTGAGCCCCAGGTCTCCCCCCTGGGCCCCTCTCCCCTGAGGACTCGAGATAAGGCACCAAATACCTCATTGAACTTTAATGTTAAAAAAAAAAAAAAGGAAACCAAATATCGTTGGCTGGGGGCCAGCCAGGGCAAGGGGCTGGGGGGGCTGAAGGGAGCCAGGGCTGGGAAAGTGGTGGGAAATCCTCTCCCCCACCCCCACCTGCCCCTTCCACTCCAGCCCTCCCCGTGTCAACTCCGGGAAACAAAACTATCTCATTGTTTTTATTTTGTGGTCTGTACAGAGCCTATGTCCGTGTGTCTGTGTGTGAGAGAGAGAACGTTGGGAGGGCTGGGGAGCTTTGCGTGGGCATGGGGAGGGAGACCCCAGGCCAGGCTTGGGCTAGCATAGATGTCGTCAGGTGGAGGCTCAGGGGCCTGGGCTTAGAGAGAAGAGGTGAGTGGACTGGGACAAAAACTCCTTTTACCTTCTCCCTGACCTCCTACCCTAGTGGTGCGCCTACCATACTGGTGGGCCTTTTAATTGTGCCAAAAAAAATTAAAATTAAAAAAAAATGCCAGTAACTAAACCACTTCTCTCTGTTCCCTTCTGGGGGACAGGGTGGAGGGCTGAGGAGGAGGAGGGATCTGGGTAGGGATGGGGATCCCAAGGCCCTGTGGGAAGTCAGGGCTAAGATCCAGAAGGAGAAGGTATGAATTTCCCACACATCTCCTCCTCGGGGAAGGTCAAGAGCGTCTCCAAGCCAAAGCATCCTGGGAAGATCCTCAAGGAACTGGCCAGGTTGGGGTGACCTCTTGACCTGACCCATTTTTCTCATCCAGTCCACTCCTAGGGTGCCTCTCTCTTCCTCTAGGCCAGGGTAGGGGGACTGAGAGAGTGAAATAGACAATAAGATTGAGACACGCGGGCCCCACCTGTCTGAGTGGGAAAGGCAAGTGGGGGAGATAAAGGCCTCCAAGAGAAAAAAGAAACAAACCAAAGATTTAACCATTAAAAACCCACAGACAACTCCGCTACCTTTTTATACGTTGGGAAAAAAAGTGAAAAAAAAAATAAAAATATTAAAAAAAATTACACAAACTCCAAGCTGCAGTTCCTTCGTGCAGCTTAAACTTTGACCTCAGCAGTCTCCAAAGCAAGACGACGATGACAAAGGTGGAAAAAAAAAAGGAGAAAAAAGAAAAAATAATGTATATTTTTAAGTATTTGTCCTTGAGATGTTAGCTCCTTGCTAAACAAACCAAAAAAGAGGAGCAAAAAAAAATTTTTTTTTGAGAAGTATTGCTGAGATGGAGACAACTTATTTACTATGTCTGTGAACCCTCCCTCTGCCTCCTTCCCCTTCCTCTCCCCTTTCCTCTCCTCTAGCCCGGCTGCCCTTCCCCAAACCTGTCCCACAAGCCCTGGGGGGCTCGGTATTTATTTATTTATATAACTGCAGGGTGACTGGATAGACAGGCCATCTTTCATCAGCAATTCCAGCTCCTTGGGGCCTCTTAGCCCACTACTGCCACCATTACTTCTTAAATCCAGGGCTGCACTGGGGCAAGGTAACCACCCCATCTTGTAAAGATCTGATTGGTTCAGCTCTTTTATGGGGGGGGACTCTCTCACCTATTTACTTGAATGATTAGGTTGGAAGGTGGAGTGGAAAGAGACCTGGTGAAGGTGGCATGTAGTGGGCAAGGGAGACCAAGAAGCGGCATCCAAAGAGTAGGCCCTGGAGCAACCTGCCTTTCCTCCATTCCCATCAAGTAACCCCCACTTTCAGTTGTCTCACCCCTGTGTTGGTAGCCCCTCTCCTCCCCTCCCGTTCCCCCCTTCCCTGTCTCTTCTCGTGGTAGCGGGTTAGCGTTTCAGTGTTCTTAACTCCAATCTGCTTGTTCATTGTACAATGTGCTTCTTTTAAGGCCCCATTTTTGTAACTTGAGTGTGTCATTCATCCGAACAAACATCAAAAAATAAAAATTTTAAAAATTGTACAGAGAAATGATGTCTGTTTTCTTTTGGTCTGCTAACTGAGAAGGGTATGAAGTAGAAATAAACATGTAAACTGGGGAGGAGACTTATTTTTGTTCAAACACTGAATGTTACAGAACTTTTTTTCTTTTCATCAGCCAACTAAATCTAGTAGGCACTGATGGTTTACACCTATAATCCTAGTTTCTCAGGAGGCTGAGATCTGAGGATCATGGTTCTAAGCCAGTCTGGGCAAAGTCTGTGAGACTCTTATCTCCAACTACCTACCTGCTCTAGCCAGAAGTATAGCTCAAGTGGAAGATTGCCAGCCTCGAGGGACAGAGTACCTGGTCATGAGTTCAAGCTCTTTGAACTCAACACAATTTGCACATAGGGACTATTCTTAGAAGTCTACTATAGGCCTCAGAAAAGATCACTCCATTGTCACAGCTATTTTTTTATTGTAAGCACTTTTATCCTATGGCTATCCAAAGTGCCCTTAAGTTTTTGTTTTATTTTCCCCACTCCATTCCAGTATCTTTTTGGTCGGTCCTGGGGCTTGAACTCTGGGTTTGGGTGCTGTCCCTACGCTCTCAAGGTGAGCGCTCTACTGCTTGAGCCACAGTGCCACTTATGGTTTTCTAGTGGTTTATTGGAGATGAGTCTCACGGACTTTCCTGCCCGGGCTGGCTTTGAACTGCGATCCTCAGATCTCATCTTCCTGAGTAACTAGGATTACAGGTGTGAGCCACCAGTGTCCGGCTCAGTCCTTTTTCTTACTTGCACCTGATCTTGTTGTTGTTGGTTGTGGGGCCTGAACTCTGGGCCTGGGCACTGTCCCTCTGCTCTTCAGCTCAAGGCTAGTGCTCTACCACTTGAGCCACAGCACCACTTCTAGCTTTTTCTGCTTATGTGGTGCTGAGGAATTGAACCCAGGGCCTCTTGCATGCAAGACAAGCACTCTATCACTGAGCCACCTTCCCAGCCCCTCAACCTGATTGTTTATTGTAAGGATGAATCTTCTAATCATTCTAAGTACTTATTTGACAGGACTTTCAGGACTTTACAGTTTGAGAGGGGTTATTCAGGAATGAATTTTCTCCAAGGCTCTAGGGAGATGCGACATTCTGGAACAGTGGCACAAGTACATCCTGCAGGGTACCCAGTTATTGAAGACAGTCCCCATGATCAACATGCTTGACAAAAAACTATGAAAACTGCTCTTCATTAGGAACTGTTAGGACATCAAATAGGTGAGTGGGTTTTTCTTTGTAAAATGTTTAGTCCTGACTTCTAGGCCTAGCTCTACTTACTGCCTATATGTTCTTAGTCTTTCCTCTTTCAGCCCTCTTCTCGTGCAAGCAACAGATTGGTGATTTTCAAACAGGCTCCCAGGGCCTCAATGCCCACAGGAAAATAGGCTCAGTAGGAGTAGGTCTTGGGCCTCCTTTTCCACAAGCTTTTCAATACAGGCATCTTCTCTTAAACCTCTTTGTAAGGACTGAGAATATGGCTTAAGTAGTATAACACTTGCCTAGCAAGCATGAAGCCCCAAGTTCAATACCAAGTGCTGCAAAAACAGCCAAGAGCTCTTTCCAACAGAAGGATCTGGCGTAATGAGTGAGGGTGTCTCAAGGCTAGCACAGCAAGAGCATTCCCACCCACACTGCCCATCTCCTGTCTCTAACGCTCTTCTCTGATTATGTAAAAGGAGGCAGAGCAGTGAGAAAAGGGTGATTAAAACAAACGAAACCAGACAAATTCAAGCTGAGTTGAACTGACCTTGGGCAAGTGCCCTTAATGTTTGACTTCAGAGGCCTTCCCTGCAAAATGTTCTCTTCACGGGATCACTATAAATGTTATTCAAAATAATGCAGGGCATATGACACAATCAAATACTGGTCAACCACCCAGCACTCCTCCCTGACAAGAAAAATCTAGTAGTGGAGCCAAAGTTCAACTCTAGGGGGACTTCAGGCACTTCCCCTATGATGCTTCCCACCCTAGTCCCACACGGTTCAGATTTCCTCTAACTCCACAGCTGGGTCTAACCCAGAAGTCATTCTCCTCTACAAGCCTAGAGACCATGCTCAACCTGAGTCTACACTCTGGGATCCAGTTAGAAAACCCTGGGGGTATAGCTATGGTCCTCATCCAGCCATAAGTGGAGGGACAAGGCTAGTACAATTCTCAGTGTGCTAGGTGCTGGTAGATCATGCCTATAATCCTAGCTACTCAAGAGGCTGAAATTTAGGGATCTTAGCCTGACAGGGAAGTCCATGAAATTCTAATCTCTGGGGCTGGGAAGGTGGCTCAGTGGTAGTGTGCTTGCCTTGTATGCCTGAGCCCCTGGGTTCGATTCCTCAGCACCACATAAGCAAAAAGAAAAAAGTGGAATTGGTGCTGTGGCTCAAGTGGTAGAGCGCTAGCCTTGAGCTGAAGAGCTGAGGGACAGCGCCCAGGCCCAGAGTTCAGGCCCCACAACTGGACCCCCCCCAAAAAAATTAAGAAATTCTAATCTCCAATTAGTCACCAGAAAATAAGAAGCAGGGTTGTGGCTCAAAGTGGTAGAGTGCTAGCCTTGAGCAAAAGAACCCAGGAATAGCACACAGGCCCTGAGTTTGAGCCCCACCTCAGGACACTGGCACAAACATCTTTAAGCTTTTCCAGAAGGCTGTGAGGACCTCTAGTGGCCAGAGAGCGGGTTGCCCATACCCAGCACCAGGAGTCTCCTTTCTGAGCCAGCCTTGGGGGCAGGCTGCCTTTGCTTCAAAGTGCTAAGAATGCGGACAGGCCAAGTCTAAGAGGTGTGGGCCCCGACTCCCAAATCCACCCTATAGCTGAGCCTAACCAAAACACATAAAAATGTCCAACTCAGTCTTTATTGACTGCTTCACTTTGCGGCCAACAAATAGGTGTGTGGGGGACACCTTTATGCAAAGGACCCCCAGAACACCCACCTAAGAGAATAGATCCAATTACAGCACTTACATGGTGGTGGGAGGGGAGAGGGTACAGTATATACAAACAAGGGGAAGCTAGAGAGGCCTTCGGCAATGCCATGTGGCGACACGGGAGTAGGGCACTCAGCCACTGATCTGGACCCCCTCAGCCTCAGCCAGAGGGTAGATCTCAATGGCCTCCACCAGGGGCAGGGCCTCCACTGCAGTCTCCATCACAGCCAGGCCAACAGCAGCCTCCGCCTCCGCCAGCTGCTGGCGCACAGCTGCCTGATGCTGCTGCTGGTGAGTCTTGCGATGCTTCCAGAGGTTAGAGAAGGAGCGGTAGCTCTTGCCACAGTCGGGACAGGAGTAGGGCCGTTCACCCGTGTGAATGCGACGATGTTCTGCCAGGCGCATGGAGATGGCGAAGGCCTTGCCACATACTTCACAGGCAAAGGGCCGCTCCCCGGTGTGCAGGCGCCGGTGGTCTTTCAGGTGTGTGCTCTGCCGGAAGGCCTTGCCGCAGTCGGGACACGGGTAGGGCCGTTCGCCCGTGTGGATGCGTCGGTGCACCTGCAGCGACGTTTCGGTGCTGAAGAGCTTCTTGCACTCGCTGCACTCCAGGCCCCGGCGTCGGGCAGGGGCTGCGGGGGCTGTGGAGGCTGCACCTCCCAGGGATGCAGGAGAAGGAACTGGTGTGCGGGTGGCTCTTGGGGCCCTGGGAGCTGGGGGCTCCTTAGCCAGGACCTCTCCGGGCCCAGCGGCGGCATGGGCTGCCTCGTGGGCCTGCAGTCGAGCAGCTGAGCCCACTTTCTTGCCACAGGTCCCGCACTCGTAGCGCCGGGGGGCCTGGGCAGCGGCAGCTGCACAGCGGTGCTCCCGCAGCCGCAGCGAGGACGGGAAGGCAGCTCCACAGGACGGGCACCGGTGGGGCTGACGCCCCGCGTGGGCCACGAGCTGGTGTACCTCCAGCAGCCGGCGCAGCAAGAAGGAGCGGGGACACTCGCGACACTTGTAGGGGTACTCGCCCGTGTGGTGGTAGCGGTGCATGAGCAGGCGGTAAGGGCGGTGAAAACGCACCCCGCACTCCTGGCAGCGGTAGGGGAAGTGCTGGGCGTGGACCAGGCGGTGCTGCCTCAGCGTGGAGCTCTGCGTGAAGGCCTTGCCACAGTCCCCACAGCGGTAGGGCCGCTCCCCGGTGTGTGTGAGTCGGTGGCGGGCCAGATTGGCAGGGGAGTTGAAGGGCTTGGCGCAGTCGGGGCAGGGGAAGGGCCGCTCCCCCGTGTGCGTGCGCAGATGGTTCCGCACGTGAGACTTCTTCTTAAACATCTTGCCACAAATGCTGCACTTATGGCGCCGCTCCAAGCGGTGCACAAAGCGCTGGTGCCGGGTCAGCTGCAATGCCTTGCCAAACTCGCGGCTGCACAGGAGGCAGCGGTAGGTGCTGGGGGCAGCAGGCTCTGCTGTGCTCTCCTCAGACACGGGGGGCTCTGGGGCCTCTGGCTCTCGGGTCTCTGTGGGGGCTGGTTCAGGAAAACTGATGACAGGCTCCTCGGGTGGGACCGGCGTTGTGGGCAGAGGGACGCCCCCTGCCCCGTGGGTACGCCGGTGATAAAGGAACTTGGTGAGATTGACGAAGGTCTTCCCACAGGGGCAGGAATGCAGAGGGTTTGGGGTATGGGCTCGCCGGTGGGCTAGGAGGAGGGCCTCCGTGCCAAAGGCCAGGCCACAGTCCACACACAGGAAGTGGGACTCGCTGCTGTGGTCACCGAGGTGCTGATCTAGACTGGAAGGGCTGGGGAAGACCCGGCTGCAGAGGGGACACTTAAAAACGCCCTCGCGGTGACTCCGCAGGTGCTGCTGCAGCTGATGGGGTGAGAGAAAGATCTGGTCACAGGCTGAGCAAAAGAGTTCCTGGGTGGCTGTGCCCCCCGGCTCTACGCTGCTGCTCCTCCGTGGCTTCCGCGCCCGCCGATCACGCCCGATGGTGTCCCCATTGCGCAGCTCATAACTATGATCAGAGGCTGGCAGGGCATCAGGCTGAGACACCGGTACCTCTGCAGGTGAAGGGGTCAGGGTCTCGGGCTGCAAGGCAGGTTCTTCAGCCTCCGGGGCAGGAGCAGGAAAGTGGGTAGCCTGGTGCTCCAGGAAGTCGGCGGGCAGCTGGAAGAGCTGGGAGCACTCGGAGCACTTATAGAGGAGCAGCTCCACCTCCGTTACTACCTCAGTGGTAGTGGTGGCTGCAGTGGGGACAGTGATGCCTTCCACACCTTCTTCTGCCTTTCGGTATGAGTGTTCCACGGCCACACGGGCCTGGCCCACAGGGGGACCTAGGACAACTGGGGACCCCAAGACAACAGGGGCAGGAGCCTTGGTGGGGGTGGCCCGGAGGTGTGTCTGCCGGTGGCTCAGCCAGAGCTCTTGGCTGGCAAAGAGAGCCTTACAATCTACACACTCGTAGTGGATGGTGTTGGAGCTGAAGGCGGGCGCTTTGGGGGGTGGCTCGGCTGGCACTGCCTCCTGGGGGGCCATCATCTTCAAGTGTAGCTCCTGGTGTTCCAGAAGCTGGCTGGGTGACATCAGCAGTTGCCCACACTCAAGGCACTGGTACTGGCTCTCCTGTACTAGAGTCTGATAGAGGCCGGTGCCTGACGCTGTCTCTGTAGCCACTGTGACTCCAGGGTCGGCCACGCCCACCAGCTCAAAGTGCTGCTGGGGCACGTGGGAGTTCTGGTGCACGAGCACCTCCTCCAGGGATCCATACAGCTGGTTGCACTCAGAGCAGACATAGCGGTGTTCAATGTACAGGACTGTCTCCTCAGACTCCTCAGTCATGGCAACAGCAAGGTACTGGGCTATGAGAAGGGACAGCATGGACAAGTGAGTCCTTACCAAAAGTTTTGATCTGTTTCCCCTTTCAACTTCTCCCTTCCATTTCTCCATTCCAACCCCCTTTCTAACAACTGTTTCTTCCCTCCATGTACAATAAGAACAAGGAACACAAAAAAATCTTCCCAGGGATTTTTTTCCTTGGGGCTTTTTTTTTCCCCCCAAGCCAAACCTCTCCACTTGCATCAAGCTCCACCCACCAGATCCAATCCCCTTATCCACCAAGCATCACAGCAGGCCCCCAAGGTTCTACCCAAAACACTGGACCTCTTCCTTTTCACTCACACCTCTTTCTAACGACTGCACCCCCTTGCCAAGATACCCAGCGGACGCCTCACAAGGCCTTCCCAGCCACACTCCTTACCCAGATCACTCTAACTGCCCCAGTACCCTGCCACTTACATGGCGGGACCCCTCTCCTTTGCACTCAGCTCTTGCTAACTACCCACTCTCCCTCTGGTACCCACATGCCTCAAATCAAACCATTCTCCTAATCAAATCTATTTTTTCTTTTCTTTTCTGGACAAGATCTTGCTATGTAACTAACCCAGGCTGGTCTAGAAGTCAAAGTGCTCCTGCCTCAGCCTCACAAGTCCTAAGATATAGGCTTGCACTTTTTAAGATTTTTAGGGGGAAGTAGTCCTGAGGACTTGCATTTTCTATAGGTGCTCTATCACCGGGGCCCCATATCCAGACTTCATATCCAGACTTAGATTTTTCTCAATCAGCCTAATCCAACAACCAGATTTAACCACCTCCCAATACCTAGACCCTCCTTAACAAATCAAATCCCTCTCCCAGACAGTAATTCTGTATCCAGAACACCCAGACCCACCTTCACAAAAGCCTAATTCTTTCTTGAACCCAGACTTCACTCACCATCCTACCATATGCCCTCAGGGTATGGGAACACACATTAATCACTTTTCTGTACCAAGATAAAGGCACAATTCTAATTCCTTCTAGGCACACAGGCACATTGACTTGAACTCCTTTAGGTAAATAGCTACTCATTCCAGGATAACCACATCTCCTCTTCCTACCAACCTAAGCCCTTCCTTCTTTGCATAAAGGCCCACCCCATCCTTAACCTATTCCAGGAATACTAGGCTCTCTCTTCACAAACTATCATTCTGCCTCACTCTCCCAAATGCTGGGATTACAAGTCTGCACCTCCACACCTAGACTTTTTTTTTTTTTTTCCTATTTGGCAGTACTACTGTTGGAACTCAGTGTCTCATGCTTGCTAGATAGGCAATCTACAGCTGAGCTATGCCTCCAACCTTTTTCTCAGCCATGTATTTTTGAGATCGGCTATCTGATCTGCTTATGTTAGGATTCCCATCATAGCAAAGGTGACAGGCTGCACATGACCCAGCCTGGCAACTGCTTCAGAGGGATCACTCTCACTTTTCTGCCCCAGCTAGCCTCCCGCTGAATTCTTGATCTCAGCTTCTCTGCTAGAAAGGATTACAGTCACTGATGCCCAGTTTAACTTTTTCTTGTTTACAGTAAGTCCCATTCCCAGAGTTGAGAGCCCTCTATTTCACACCGAGACCCTTCTCACCAGGTCCCCAACTTCTTACCAATGAGGCATCGCATCTTCATCCCAAGAATACCCAGACCACCCCCTCTATGCAGCATATGTCATCCTTCTCAACACCCTACAATACCCCAGGGATACCCAAATCTTCATGTTGGCCTAGTTATCAGTACTTTAGAAAACAAAACAAATACATTTCCCTTCTGGCTCATTCTAGGGATATCTACAATGCACCTTTTACACATGAATGTAACTCTCGGTACAGACACCTGCCTGCAATACTTTCCAAAGGTACCCCGTTCCCCCCCCCAAAGAAATAGGTATTATGCCTTTTTTTTCCCCCAAGCCTGGATCTCTCTCTTATCTCGAAATCTTCTAACTACCTTTTCACACTAAGACCTTTCTTCCTGCCCTAATTCTCGCAGGCAATAATAAGACTTTACCCCCCCACACTCGGTTTAACTTAATTACTTTTCTCTAACCTAACCGCCCCCCACTGCGCCCCCGGGCTCGTTCACCCCAGAACTCTCTAACCGTCCACCTTCCGTCCTGGATCGTTCAACCACCCAAGCGCCCTTAGCCCAGGCAGCCCTCCAGGGAGGGGCGGGGGGCAGATCTAAAACCACCCTCTTCCCACCCCGATCAAATCCCGGTTCTGCAGCCAGAGCCCCGCCCACCGCCCCGCCCCGCCCGGGCCCCGCCCAGCCGCCTGCGCGCTCGGTGGCCGTTGCTACCGCACCGCCTGGCGCGCGCCCCCTCGGGCCCTTCAGTAAAGCAGGCCGGGTGACGTGCGCCCACTGCGGGCGTGAGGTGGGGTGGGGGCCGGGCCCGCCCTGCGGACACCCTCTTAGCACTCACTTGCCTCCGTCGACTCGCACGCCTGGGGGCCCAGGTCCGGGCCGCCGCTGCTCCCCTAGCAAGGCCACTCTAGCCCTTCGTCCTCTCTAGCTCCCGCCGTCTCCTCTCGCCTGCTCCACAGCCTCGCTCGGGCCTTTCAACAACGCCCCTCCCACCTTCCTCCTAGACGGCAGAGCGCGACCAATCCTAGCCCTCCTGACCGCCCTGCCGTTTGACCAATCAACACTCAGGATTCGGAAGTCTGGGCCAATAGTGTAGAGGGTCAGGATTCGTCCGCCTTCTTAAACTCTCCCTTGGAGAATACACGCCTCCTCCGCCCTCCTCTTGGACCCCGCCTCTGACGTCTCGAGAGGGCAGCGCTGAGCGGAGGACGGAGCGCGATGACGTCAGGGGACGAGTTGACGGGCGCCATCTTGGGGGCGCCGAATGGGAATCGCGGGGAGAAGTCGGCCGCGGTGGCGCTCAGCCCTGGGAGGGCGGGGTCTGGTTTGGAGAGGGATAACTGAGGTCCTGGGAACCCCGAGGGCCAGAGGGGGAGAGTGGATCGGCATTCCACATGCGGGGCAGTTGAGGGGAGACAATAGCAGCCACATCGAGGGAGTCAAGTTGAGGCAAAACCTGGGTTCCAGATTGATTTTCTTTTCTTTTTTTTTTTCTTTTGTCGGTCGTGGGGCTTGAACTCGGCCTGGGCGCTGTCCCTGAGCCTTTTCACTCGAAGCTCTACCACTTTGAGCCACCGCACCACTTCCTATGTTCTGATGGTTTATTGGAGATAAGAATCTCATGGACGTTCCTGCCCAGGCTGGCTTTGAACCGTGATCCTCAGATCTCAGCCTCCTGACTAGCTAGGATGACAGGCGTGAGCCACCGGCGCCCTGCTCAGATTGATTTTTATTAAGTAAAGGGAGTGAACCGGGTGCCCAGTGCCTCAAGCTTATAATCTTATATCTGAGGATCGGCGACAGCGCCGAGGCCCTGAGTTCAAGCCCCAGGACCAGAACAAAAAGAACTACTAGATCAGACATCAGTCTAGGTTTGACTGCAGTTGCTATCTTTTTTGCTGGGTTCTAACTTTCCATTAAACTATCTGAAGTGAGGTCATGTGATGAAACCTTGGCTGCCTGCACCCAAGTCCTGGCCTTGGAATTTCCTAAATGTGACTTTTTTTTTTTTTTTTGTCTTGGGGCCTGGGCACTGTCCCTCAGCTTTTCAGCTCAAGGCTAGTGCTCTACCTCTTGAACCAGAGCACCACTTCTGGGTTTTTTGGTTTTTTTTTGGGGGGGTGGTCCGGTCGTGGGCCTGAACTCTGGGCCTGGGCGCTGTCCCTCAGCTCTTCAGCTCAAGGCTAGCGCTCTACCACTTGAGCCACAGCACCACTTCCGGCTTTTTTCTTTTTTGCTTATGTGGTGCTGAGGAATCGAACCCAGGGCCTCTGGCATGCAAGGCAAGCGCTCTACCACTGAGCCACCTTCCCAGCCCTAGTTTTTCAAATTTGTTACTGTTTTGCCAGTTTTGAGGCTTGAATTCAGGGCCTGGGTACTGAGCTAGTGCTCTACCACTTGAGCTACTGCACCACTTCCCTAAGTGTGACTTCAGGCAAGGCATCTAAGTTCCTTGTTCCCTTTCCTTATCTGTGAAATGGAGGCACTAACAATGGGAGTTGTTTATATTAGTATCTCAAGGAACCTAATAATGATAGTTAATATCTCCTGAGTGTGTTAGGGCTACTATGTATTGAGCTCAGTGTTTCACATGCATAATTTAGCTGAGTCCAATACCCCACAGGGGAAAACTTACTCTAAGTTCACAAAGAAACAGAATCAGAGAAATTAAGTAACTTCTCCAAGTTCCCATTTTTAGGAATAAGCAAGCAGGATTCCAGCCAAGGAGTTGGTCCCTCACTTCTGCTGTGTGTGTGTGTGTGTGTGTGTGTGTGTGTGTGT